AAGTGCAATTTTTCCAAAAGGTCAACTCCGCCTGTGGGGACGTCAGAGTTGTTTGAAAATTAATTTTGTGTAAAATTAATTTTTTAATATTTTTTTTTGAATAATAATAACATTTTAATTTTTTAAGTAACTTTTTAATTTTTTAAATTTTTTTAGGCAATCCAAACCAGGCTTAAGGAGAAGCTATATTTTATTTACTATTTTTTATTTTTATTTTTATTTTCATCTACAAATTCTTACGCAAATTCTAGATAATTAGAATTGATACGCTCGGTATTGGTTGTACATGGACTTGTTCGTCGTTTAGTTTCATTGCCTTTTAAGTGGATTTTTTTTTTTTTTTTTTGTATAAAAAAAATTAATGACTTATAGTTTGAAAACAAATAAAAAAATTTAACTTTAAGTTGATAAAATTAAAAATTTATTTTAATACAATGATTCAAACACTAATTTTTTTGTTCAATGATTTTTTCATGGGTGCATAGACTGAAGACAAAGCTCACAATATGAATCTAAAAATCAATTATTGTGTTGAATTGATCTTGAAGAAGTATCATCCAAAAATATTTTATGAAAATAGTATATAATCACATCAGGATTTCATACCATTTCTATAAAATATTTCGGCCTTGTTTGGTTTGTGTTTCTCAAAAATTTTTGAAAAAAATTATCTACAAATAAGTTTTTAAAAGTAATCAAACTAAACAAATTTTTCTAAAAAAATTTTCCAAAACTTGTTTGGTTTACAAGTTTTCCAAACAAATCTCTCTCTCTCATACACATCAAATCAATCACTTTTTCCAAAACTCTCTCTCAAAATAATTTCAATCACTTTTTCCAAAACTCTCTCTCAAAATAATTTTTCAAAACATCTTTTGAAAAAAATCAGACCAAACAACTTTTCGTACTTTTTATCTCTAAAACTAATCTCCCAAACTCAAACCAAACATACCCTTCAATTCTTTTGCAAAGATCAATAATTTAGCCAAATATTAGAATGATGATTCATGAATAGCTGTCAATTATATGAATTATTGTAAGAAAGTGATGGATAATTCAAATTCTCATGTCGGCCAATCAAAGTCAAACACTACTACATCCTGTGGAGACTATTTACTTAACAGCTTTATTTTTTTGTAGCATTTGACGAAAGTCTCAAGAAGCAAAACAAGGGTCCCAGTCCCCTGTTTGGAGTAATTTATCTTGTTTTATTTTAAAATTTTTATGTCATATTATTTAGTATAACTTATGTTTATTGGTTTGTTTTAAATAAGCTAAAAAATATGATTATCGAAAGGGGGGAAATTTGTGTTTTTTACTTTTTAACTTATACTTTCTAATTATCAACTTTCAACTTAAAAAAAATTACACCAAATAGGTCTTTATGAGCGTTCAAGAACTAACTTAGTTGGATTTTTAGGTGAATTAAGAGTTGAGTTGATTCTTATGATTTTAAAAATTTATGAACCAAATCGAATTTTAGAACCTTCTTAATCAAATAGCAAAAAGCGGTTTAATTCTACTATTCTAACTTCAGAAAGATTATCCCAAACAAGCCATTCTCCGTGGTGACATTTGAAAAATAGAGGATGGTGAGAAACATCGGTCTCCCATATTTGTTTAAATTTAAAGTGAATTTAAAAATGAGTAATGTTAGGAATCATAAAAAAAATATCATGAAATGTTTCATGAAAATTTTTTATCTTTTGATTAGTGTGTAGTATTTTATTGTATGTATAATTCAAAAATTTAGCAATCAATTCAAATCTTAAAACTTTTGAAATTGAACTAGAATCAAATTGAAAAAAGCAATCACTTTTTTTAATGGTGACATCCTACGTCTTGGGTAAAACAATTTAGTATACCATACTATCTTAAGTCATAAAAAAATGAATTCTACTTATAAAAATATTTCAAAAAATTCAAAAGCATTCTTTAAAGTTTCATAACATTCTTCAAACTAACTTTTATTAACCATGTAAACATATCAAATTCTTCTATTCGCTTCTTTTGACCCTTAATCTAGTAATTCATCCATAATCAACGGTTCCCAATTACTTGGAACCAAAACCTAATCATCTTCTCAAAAAATTGAATCAAATCATACGATTTAAATTGATCTAGATTGATTTGTCAGTTTCACCAATGTTTTTTTGAATACTCCTAAAGAGTCTAAGTGCATCTTAATCAATTTTAGCATGAAACACATAAAACAAAGTTTCATTGACCTACCAGCTAATCATGAGCCCATGCTTATCTCAACCATTAATGCCATGGAACCCAGGCAATTTGAAAGGTACATTGTGATAACAAATAGTGTCATCTATCAATACTTGATCATATTATTAGCTACAAACATTAAATTTTAGGTTGGAAACAATGCAGAGATTAGACAAGAAGTCCAAAATATGTGGTAGTGCTTCAACTTGGTTTTTATTTATTTAAACAATGAGACTCGTCACTGTTATGTTGATTTTTAAAAAATAATATAACAAAAAAGTCTCAACATGAACGATGTGAAATATTACTCCTCAGAGTCTACTAAATAACTTCTCCATTTGTTGTGTGCATCAGAATAGCTGGGAGGTCAATCTTTACTGAAAATAGGACTTAATTATTTTTTTCTATGTTTGGATGCTATTTCTCAAGTTATTTATTTGTTCTCCATTATAAAACTCTTCACTGTATTGATATGGTTGGTGATGATATTTGTTACTCCCTCCGTCCCAAAATAATGGTCCCTTTTGAGAAATCTAACTTTTTTTGGTAGTACAATTATTACATTTGAAAAAGTTGATTTTCCAAAATTATCTTTTTGATAGTACATTTTTTGATAATATCAATATCATAATTGTACTTTTTATATTGTTTATTAATTTAAAAGAAGGACAAAATAGAAAATTTATATTATTTTTGTACTTGATTTTTGAAGATAGACTAATATTTTGGAACAATGAAAAATGGAATAAGGGACTAATATTTTGAGACGTAGAGAGTATTAAACTTTCTTAATATTATTCAGTTTGATGCTCTTGATATTTGAAAATAATTTCCTACCAATTGAGAAGAAGATGCAAAATCACAATCCATCTGAGTATGCATTCATGAATTTGTGGAGGGAAAAAAGCAAAGCAAACGTATTTTCTCATTTATTCTTATAAAAAAATGACACCCCTCGTATTTTATCATTTGGTTTCATGAATTAGAGTTTGGCGGGATTATAAAAGTTGCAGCCTAAATTCAATTGTAGACTTGAGATAAATGCAACTTCATTAAGTATTGCGAAAGGATTGAATTAATAAGTATCCTAAAAACATTAGTTAACAAATTTTGAAATAATTTTACATCTTTTATTGTGCACACTATCATATATCATGTACATAAGGGAACTTGGTTTTATTTTAGTCTATCAAGTAGTGTCTTCAAACTACCCACCCAAATGATATCTTCTGATTTTTATTAAGCCACAACTCCTTTATTTGTAGGGAACACTTCGGGTTATGCCAAAAGCAAGCACTTGCACAATAGCTATGATTGAAACCAATATAACCTAACCTCTGTAGGTTCACATTCCCTTAATTTATGAAATGTGTTAAGTGATGAATAACATATTTACAAGTATAATATATATATATATATATATATATTTGTCTCACCTTTTATATCATTGGGGTTGAGCTTCTCTCCCTCCCGTTCACTGATTGTGAGAGAAAAATGAAATTTAAAACAATAAAGTTCATAATTTTGGGACTCACCTTCCTCTCAAAGGACTGAATGATTCGATTCACATAAGAAAAGTCACTCTTCCCAAATAAAAATCAAAATTATTAGATACTTCAAAAATACTATGTAGCATTGTCTACGTGATATTCTCAATAAATAAAAATTGAGATCTTGTTTGGAAAGAGGCTATTTTAGCCTTAAAAAAAAAAACTAAAAATCACTATAAAAAACCAAAAATCAACATGTTTGGCATACATCTAAAAAAAATGACTTCTACCGGTTTAAAAAAACCAACATAACCTCGCTTCAACTTTTTCCATACAACTAAAATAAGGATTAAATGAGAATTCCCGACAAAAAATCAGATCACATCAGTTTTTCACATTTTTCTATACAAATAAAAAAATCATGAAAAAAAAAAAGTATTCCCAAACACGACTTTTTTCATCTCATAAAAAAGTCAAATAATCACTAAAAGAACTCTTCTCAAACAACACCTAAATAAAAAATATTACATGACAACCCAAGACTGGTGAATAATTATTCATTGAAAATCTTAGAAAAATGGCTAAAAATTAACAATGCATGGGCAAATGAATAAATCATTTGCATGGGACCAAGATAAAGTGAGTTTATTACTAATTCAACTATTAAAGATAAGCATGAGAATCTATTCTTAATAAAAAAAACCTTTTTCCTTTTCTTTTCTTCTTTTTTTTAACAAATAATAAAACCATTTCAGTCACATAATTTTGATAAAGATTGGCACACATTGATTACTAGAAGAATATGCCCCCATGCCCCCACCATGAAACAGAGTTTGGAGTTGTGGCCACGCTTCAGCAATCATTGGCCAACCCACAACCTAAGTTTAATCTAATTAAAAGTCTCTACCAATCACTATTGCATAGACTCGCTATTTTTTCCGAAAAAAATTAGGGACCATAAAAAATTTTTCATGAAAATAATCATGAAATATTTATGATTCTTGAATTACTTTGATTAGTGTGTGATTTTTTATTCTAAGTGTAATCCAAAGGTCACAAAACTTTCATGATACCTAGCATTGCTAATTTTTTTCAGACCTAATAAGAATAAAGATGCGACATATTCAATTTAAAAACTTGAAATTTTTAATTTTTTATAATATTCGCTCGCGCACACCTTAAAAAAAAAAAAAAAAAAAAACTTATATTTTCTAGTATAGAATATTTACTCTCGCGCGGATAGAATATGAAATTTTCTTATATTTTGAAGTCTTGACCCTTTGGACACGCACTCCCACTCAATGCTCAACCCAAAACCACATAGCTGCTATCTATAAATAGGAACCTAGCTTCAGGCCATAAAACACTACTCTTTCATTCCCAAACACCAACCAATCCAACTGAGAATGGCCAAAATGTTAGAGAACAGTTTTCTTCTTCCTTTCACCATGGCTATTGCCTTTGCCTTGTTGGTCTCATGTTCACAAGGGCTCAACACAAGCCTCGATCAACCTTCTTCTCTAGTCCCATCATCCACCATACTCAATTACCATGGCGGTCCACTCCTTACCGGACCCAGAACCATCAACATCTATCTCATCTGGTATGGAACCTTTTACCTGAAAGATCGAACCCCGATCACCGACTTCTTTGCTTCCTTTAATGGACTCAATCCACAGCCGAAGGAGTCCACGGTTGCATCGTGGTGGAATACTATTTTGTCGTACAAGGACAAGGTCGGGAAACCAGTTTCCAGCACTTTCACACTCTCGAAACAGCTAGGAGACATACAATACTCACTTGGGAAAAACATCAAACGTGCTCAAATAGCCAACTATATTAAAAGCAAGATTGATAGCAAATTATTACCTTTGGATCCCCATGGGGTGTACTTGGTTCTGACCTCTAAAGATGTCAGCGTGGAGCAGTTTTGCATGAGTTCATGCGGCTTTCATGGAAGCATCATAACAACAGCAACGAAAAGAAGAGTAGTCTATGCACACGTTGGAGACCCCTTCAGGCAGTGCCCTGGCCTGTGTTCATGGCCATTTGCTCTTCCGGCTTATGGTCCACCTGGTCAGGCAGCTCTGGTGGCTCCCAATGGGGTTGGTACAGATGGCATCATTATGAACCTCGCAACAATTCTTGCTGGAGCTGCAACAAACCCTTTCAACTCCGGCTACTTTCAAGGGGATGTGTTGGCACCACTTGAGGCCGTCACAGCATGTCCAGGGATTTTCGGCCCCCGAGCTTATCCAGGGTATCCAGGTGACCTGAAAGTGGATAAAATTAGCAGGGCAAGCTATAACGCTTATGGCGTCAATGGCCGGAAGTTCCTTCTCCCAGCTATGTGGGACCCAGTGCAGACCAATTGCAAGGTGCTTGCCTGAAATTCAAAATCAATTTCAGTGAAGGAACCATATGTATATGAATATAGCTCATGTATGCACAAACTTCCTAAAACAAATACCAATTGCAAAACAAATAATATTAATCATGAGAATTAACTCTTCTTTCTAAAAATTATGCTTTGATTTTCCTTCAATTTACTGTTTCCATTACAAAAAAATGTGGGAGGTTTTCTCCTTATTAACCCCAATCAACAGCCAAGTCACTGAAAAGGATCCAGAAGACGAGAGCCGAACAGATAAAACCTCAAGAATATTGTTTTCTCAGAAAGATACAATGACCGTTGGATATTTATTTCCTACTCTCCAACTGATTGAGGGAAGGGGTGCAAAAATGGTTACATCATTGCAAACCCTAAAAGTTTATCAAGCTGGTTAGTCTGAGGGACCAATCATCTTTTCCGGTACTACAAGTTGGTCAAACTCTTCACTAGTGAGCACTCCAAGATTTAGAGCAGCTTCCTGCAAGATTAAATTTTGTCAGAATTGAGCACGCAGAGTTGCAAAATTTAAAAATACCAAGTTACTTGATTGCAAAAAGATAGTAAGTTTCCCGAATGCAAGTCATGGATATATAATCGAACAGCAAAAAGACACCCCAGCATTGCAAAGAAATGAGAGAAGGCCATCACCTTCAGAGTGCTTCCCTCCTTGTGGGCTTTCTTGGCAACTGCTGCAGCGTTGTCATAACCAATTTTCTGGAAAGAGGCAACAGCATATATTGTTATTCAAAACTCCCCCACAAGAGAGAGAGAGAGAGAGAGAGAGAGAGGGAAACTTACAGGGTTCAAAGATGTGACAAGCATTAGCGACTGAAAAACCATGCAGAGTAACACAGCAACAAGATACGATCAATTAATTTTGGGCTTTAGCATATAATATGATCTAAAATTTTACACCTTTTGTGCCTGCAGCTACTTACCTCATGCAGTAATTTTGAAATCCGTTCCCTATTGGCTTGAATTCCCCTCACACAATTCTTTTCGAAAGAAGCAGATGCATCCCCAAGCAATCTGACCGACTATCAGACGACGCATCACAAAATCTAGGTGAGTAAGGAATAATGTATCTATGGCTACCCAATAGACTATAAAATCACACATCATATATTCAGGCGACTCACAAAATTTCATCTGTATTACCATTAAGATAATATTAAATTTAAGGCAGGTCATTGTCAAACATGAATTCAGAATTTAATAGTTTGCATTCAGAGGATGCTGGGTGAGAGGGGAATCCATAACGCTTTTCACATGGTTTTGAAACCACAACACTTGAAGCAACCACTAGCCCAAATGTCCCCTTTATTCACCCTGAAGAGAAACTCTAAGCCTGTGTTTGGATCTTGGATTTGAGTAGAGATTTGTCCCTTTTCCCTTTCTCTCCAAATATCTACTCAAATCCAAGATCAAAACACACCCTAATAAATTTCAGGTCGGACATTATAGAAAAATTTAAAATATATTCAACAGACAAGACTTCTTTTTCCCAAACATTCAAATGAACAGGCAAAAAAAGTTGAGAGAAAAAATGAAAGAATCAGTAAGGTTTCAGTTGTGGTTAATTAGCAGATGCACCAGCTTCATTTGTGCCTCCTATAAAGAACCTAAGTTTCAAAATTACATGTTCTGCTATGCCTTCTCCAATAAAAATCAAAACAATAAATGATCACAGGACTTACATGTAGAAGAGCATTAGCAATCATAGGCTTGAACACATTCAGCTCAAAATGGCCATTTGATCCACCCACTGTAACGGCAACATGGTTTCCCATAACCTACGAGGCATAAAGAAACAGTTGATTGGTTGAAAAAGCACAAAAATGAATTGATAGTGACAGCCAAGAGAAATAAATCAATGACGATACGTTATTGGACATGCATTATTACATTTCCTAAAACATCTGATTGATGAATTCTCCATTTAACATTATTTATCATCTAATTAAACCAGAATAAGACATTAAACCTTACCTGAGCGCAAACCATAGTAAGGGCTTCACACTGAGTAGGGTTAACTTTCCCCTGAAATAGAGTAAACTCACACATAAATTTTTTTTGTTTAAGTTCAGTAATGAGAGAAAAGGATAAAGATTTTTACAGGCATAATACTGCTGCCAGGTTCATTTTCAGGAAGAATGAGTTCACCAAGGCCGCAACGTGGACCACTGGACAAGGAAAAGAATATGAAAACCCCAAAAATAAAGCAATACAACAAAGAGAGTAAGGGTTGTCAAACTAGAATATATACCTTCCTAACAAGCGTATGTCATTCCCAATCTTCATAAGGGAAACAGCAATTGTGTTTAGGGCTCCACTGCTTTCAACAAACGCATCGTGTGCAGCCTGGCATTACAAAAAATATATGACCATGCAAAACAGTTTTGCTTGAAGGATACAAGGTATTCAAATAAAATAACAACAGAAGCAAAATTCAGTGGAATCAGAGAATAACCAGTGCTTCAAATTTGTTTTCTGCTGTGACAAATGGTAAGTTTGTTTCCTCTGCTACTGCTGCAGCAATCTTTACATCAAACCTGAATAAGGCAAAAATATTGAGAAATGTGGAACTAAACAAGACAAAACAAATCTAAGTGGATAACTTATCATTAAGACAGAACTGTGAAGTCCGACTTCTTGCCAATTATTTTTAAGGTTTGGATGTGCTCAGTGACAAGGTGATGACCAACTGCTTTCTCTGTCAAAAACAAGCGATCCATAAACTTGCAATTCTCAAAGACAAAGTTTCTACTCCCTTTCTGATAACAAGGCAGAAAGTAGCGTCCTGACATTCATTAATTTCAAATGAAGGTGGGTTCAATGCCATTGGGCCTTCTCTAACACCACTGATTAATGTGGGAAATTTCTTTTTAGAAACACAATATAGCAACTTGAAAAGAAAATTGCACATTCCCACAGGTTATCACACAAGAATCCTGTTTCAACAATTTTTAGCTATATGTTTCATTAAACTCTCACAGCATTATCCCATATATCTTCAACTCCAAGGATGCACACAAGTTCAACAATTCACGCAAATGAATATCTCCAGATTTTCAAATAAACTACATGAATTTTTATTTTTTTTAAAACATACTAAGTGCTAACAGTAACCACGTGTGTAATCCATGCATGTACATGGAAAAGAATGATGGAACAAGTAATAGAAAGAATACTGGTTGCAGAAAACTCAAACTATAAGAGAAATGAAACCAAAAGAATGAAAACAGAGCAGTGACTCTCATATAAAGGATGGGAAAGATCACAACCACAAAATATTGTAACACATACCCTTTTTTTGTGTTCAATCCAGTCCCCACAGCAGTGCCACCCTGTGCAAGCTGCTCACATGACACCTCCAATATTTAAGATCTCAAAAAAAAAAAAAAAAGGAACAGAGAAAATATATATATATGAATTGCCAACCTGATACATGCGAGGTAGGGTGCACATGACTCGGTCAATACCATATTTCACCTGCAATCAAAGAGCCTGCTTTAAGGAATCCCTTCCAACATAATTAAGGCTTGTTTTGTTCTTTCAACTGGGAGAAAACCATTTCATAGTAAAAGCCAACACTCCAAAAGTTTGATAGCAAAGTAAGCTTACCTGTGTGGTATATCCACTAAATTCTTGCCCAAGAGTCAAAGGTGTTGCGTCTTGAGTGTGAGTACGTCCGATTTTAATAATATCTTTGAATTCAACTAACTAGAAAAAGCAAATAAGCACGATTGATTAGTAGTTGCAATCATAGTTGTAGTAGGACTAGTAGAGACATTATGACAATAATAGAAGCATGACAAATAAGAAAGCGCATACATGAACATAAAGGTCAAAAACACACCACCAAATCCTTTTACATGAACAAATAATTAAGATCAGCCAGGAAAATATTACGTCCCTGTATGATTGAATATATATCATAAGGAATAGCAATTTGCAAGCCACCTTAGGCCTCGTTTGGGAACAGGCTAATTTAGTAACTTTTTGGCTATTTGACTAAAAAGGTAGGTAAAAAAAACTTGTATGTTTGGGATGACTTTTTGGCTAATTACGAAAAGATGTGCAAAAAGCAGAGAGAAAAGAGAATCTTTGACTTTTTTGTATGGGTTGTTGGCTTTTTGGCTAATTTAGTAACTTTTTGACTAATTGGCTAAAATAGCCTCTTGCCAAACGAGGCCTTAGTCATTTTTCTTTTTTGCACTAGTGTTGCCAGGAAATGCTAATAGTTTAGCGAATTTCATGTTGGAACTAACAGTAAATTTAGTGAGCCAAAGCAATCCCAAAAGTTTTTTCCAATATATTTTCCTTAGGAGGAAAAAAATCATATATAATGAACTAAAATCTAATCTAATCTAAGATGAGTAAAATTTTGATAGGACAAAACGTCAAAATTGGGTCATAACACAAAACTATAATTTATTAGATGTGTAAAAGTACTTTCAATTCTTGTGGTGTAATCTATACAACTCTATTCCCTATCTAACACGTTTTTAGAGCATGTAGCGTACCACATTCTCATTCCCATTCCACATACTAGAGAGATCCACGTTCTAGGTAACATGGTTTTGCACTATATCCTAGACTCTATTTTCGTATAAATTCTAATCTTTCCAACAAGTCAATTGTTAGTACTTAAATTTTCCAAGATACAGCATTTACCAGTGTTGGTAAAACCTTAGTAAGAGACAAATCTCTTCATGAAGTTATACAAGTTTGTCCCTATCATTTTAGAGTATGGAGTGTACCATGTTCCCGCTTCTGTTCCACGCACTAAAACAATCCACGTTCAGGTCACATAGGTCCAGAATACAAAATGAAAGATTAAGTAAATTTAAATGCCTTGGTAGACAAAGAAATGATGATTTGCACATGTTGGTTAGCTAGAAGTTCTTGAGAATTTCTTAATGTTTTTATTTATCACTATATCATTCATGTCATATGTGACATAAAACCAAAGCAGGGTTTATGATTTATTGTAAACAAACAATGACGAGAGAGATAATTGAAGTTGCCAAATATAAGAGTTTAGCAGATAGTTGCAGTCTATGCAGAAGTAGAAAATGGATAGTCATAAATTATTTCAGTGAACATGACATGCTAAACCCACACCATTGATCAATAAAATTTTCAATTAATCATGAGCTTCTTAAGGGTGAAAAAGTGAAATGCAAGCTAGATGCATGAACAACTTCATCAAATGCTCCACACAGAACAACCAAAAAGCACAATGTGGTTTCGCTGCATGCCCTCCTTACACCACACCCTCCTTTGGCCTGCCTGTAGTCTAGAATGTAAAAAATATAATATGTCAAAGGACCATGCACACACCATCGATCCATATAAAAGACACGTAGCTACTTAAAAGAGGAAAATATATATATACAAATGTTCCAAATTTTTTCAGTTTTTTGTCCATGCAGCATAGTAAGCTTTGACTACCAATTTTAGTGCTGCATCAAAACCTTAACAACCTACACAGATTACAATCACAAAATCAGCATATGTATTACACATGTCATTAGTGGTAAAAAAAGCATTTAGCTTTTTCTTTTTTCTTTTTTTTGATAAATAAGCAAACTTTATTAGAAAAGCATCAAGACGATGCAAAGAATACAAAAACGAACCTAACCGCTAACTGCAAATATAAACCAAAACAGCTCTAAACAACAAGACAAAGAACAAACAAAGAGCTATTCCTCTACAAAATCAACAAAAGTCAAAACATCCGGGTCCACTGTCAACGATATCCAACTATGCAGCACAATGAAAAAACGCCGCTCCAACCATGCCACCGAACGCATCTCCCCCAAAAAAACTCGCCTGTTACGCTCCAACAAAACTAACCACATTAGACAATGGCGAACCAACTTCCAGGCCTTTCGACATCTCTTCCCAACCCTTCCCCCCAACCCAAATTTGAAGCACCGCCCTCACTATCCCTGGTTAAACCCAAGCCAAACCGAAGATAGCAACAATAAACATTAAAAGGCATGAACCAACTGAACAGCAAATAAGCAAGTGATCCACCATTTCCGCATCCCCACAACACATGCAACACCAGTTCACTAAAATATGCCTACGACGAATCAAATTATCAATCGTCAAAATACGCCCTCATGGTGGTCCATACAAAGAAAATGACTTTGGACGGACAACCCACCACCCAAACACTCTCCCATGGGAACAACACCCCATCCCGACCCGTGAGCATATGGTAAAAAGAAGACACAGAAAATACCCCTTTGTACTTCGGGCAATCCCACCTCAAAGAATCCTCCCCAACCCCCCCCAAACCGAAGACCGTACAAAAGCCCCAACAAATCTAACAACTGTCCCACCTCCCAAACCTGCACTTCACGACACAACCCAACATTCCACACCACCGCCTAGCCTTACACTTGAGCATAAGAAACCACCGTTACTTCCCAATCAATCACAAGATGAAAAATCAACACGAACATCACCTCCAATGCCATCTCTTCAAATCACCTATCCCCCCAAAACCAAGCCCTATCCCCCACCCCTACCCTAAAACAAACTCTCTTCCAAAACCCCTCTCGGCCCAACCAAATTCCTTTCCACAAACTCTGCCCAACCAAATTCCTTTCCACAAACTCTGCCCATGTAGCTATCTAACCTCCCAGTACTCCAATCCCCCCATCCCAAGCCATATTTAGCCCCCACTACTTTTCTCCATAACCGCTCCCTCTCTACCCCAAACCGCTAACCTCTTCAGTAAAAGAGCCAGATTAAATGAAACCGAACTCTAAATCCCCAAACCCTCCATCATCTTAGGAGAACAAATCTAATCCCATGCTACTAGATGGTAATGGAAAGACTCAAACCCTCCACCCCATAAGAAACCGCTTTGCAACAGACACAAGAATAACATGAACTGACATGAAATAAGTCGGAATGCTCGAGAGGACACTCTTTATCAATGCAACTCGCCCCCCTTTCAAAAGATATTGGCGCTTCCAGCCTGCCAAACGTTGCTGGGCCCACCACCCCATCCCACACCCCTTTCGCCTTATACGAAGCACCCAAAGGTAACTCCAAATAAGTTGTGGGCAAAGCTGCTACCTTGCACCCCAAAATAGCAGTCAAACTCGATATCTGTGCCATTGCACCAACCGGAATCATCTCGAACTTCCCCAGATTCACCCGAAGCCCTGACACTACCTCAAAGCACAGTAGAACACACCTCAAATATCCAATCTGGCCATCCTCCGCTCCACAAAAAATGAGACATCATCTGCATAAAACAAATGAGACACCACCATGCTGGCATTTTGAGCCATGCCTACCTCAAAACCTGTCAACAAACCCCTGTGAACTGCATTGGATAACAAATACCCCAAAGCCTCCATAATCAAGATAAACAATAATGGAGACAAAGGATCTCTTTGCCGCAAACCCCTAAAAGTCGGGAAAAATCTTGTCAACGTCCCATTCACTAGGATAGACATCCTCACAAAAGATACACAAAACTGAATCCACCTCCTCCATAATTCACCAAACCCCATTCTCTCCAACATATACATCAAGAACCTCCAGTTCATATTATCATATGCCTTCTCAATATCAAACTTGCAAATAATTCCTACTTGCCCCTGTCGAAGCCGCAAGTCAACACACTCATTTGCAACCAACACAACATCCAAAATCTGACGCCCACCCACAAAGGCATTGTGGGACTCTTAACACCACCCCCTCCAAAACCACCCGCAATCTGTTAGCCAAGATTTTAGCCAGCAATTTGTACACACTCCCTAACAAGCTGATGGGTCGAAAGTCCCTAATGTCCTCCACCCCTCCTTTCTTTGGAATTAAAGCTATGAAAGTTACATTAAAGCTCCTCTTGAGCTGCCCTGTGTAATAGAACTGAGCAAACATAGCCAACACATCTGTCTTTACCACTCCCCAACACTGTTGAAAGAAGAGCATAGTAAAACCATCAGGACCTAGCGCCTTGTCCCCAAGCATCTTCTGCAAAGCCCCTAAAACGTCATCCTCTAAAAATGGCCTTTCCAACATCTATTTATCTACCTCTGAAATAGCATCAAACTAAACCCCATCCAACCCCGGCCTCCAAGTCCCTCCATTCCCCCAAAAAAGATGCTAATAAAACTCACTATACCATCTTTCACCTCCTCCTCTAATGACAACACCACACCATTAACACGCTTCTTCCCAATATGGTTCACTCGACGATAAGCATTCGCCATATAATGAAAAAAAATTGAATTTCGATCCCCATCTTTCAACTACAAACATCTGGATCTCTGGCGATAGCTAACCTCCTCCATGTGAGCCACATGACCATACTCCTTCCTTGCCCTTTCCCGAGCCGCTAACTTCTCCTCTGTCAAGCTACCCTCAACGCCCTTTTCATCTAACCCCTGCAACACTACCAAAAGATTTGTCTTCTGAGTTTCCAACCAACCAAATACATCCTTGTTCCACCTCCACAAATCAAACTTCAGAATCTTTAATTTCTGAGCCAACCTACTGCTAGGATCTCCCCTCACATAGTAACCTTCCCACCACGACCGAACTGTATCCACAAAACCATAGAACTGCAACCACATATTTTCAAACCGAAATGGCACCGGTCCACTCCGAATCCCACCACTGTCCAACAATACCGGCCAATGATCTGAAACAGGACGCTCTAATCTTTGTTGAACCACCTGAGAGAAGTGCTCCTCCCAATCCCCATAAATCAAAAAACAATCAAGACAAGAGAACACCCTGCTCCCAAACCAAGTGAAGCTACCTCCTTGCATTGGCAAATCAATTAACTCCAAATCATCAATCAACGATGAAAAAGCCCGCATTGATCCCACTAAAAGGACCCAATCCCAACTTCTCCTCCGACCGACGCACCACATTGAAGTCACCCCCTACACACCATGACTCTGACCATCAAAAAGCAATACTCTGTAACTCTTCCCAAAAGTCGTCGTTGCACCCCAACCTCTCCCCCTCCTCGTTTCGAATTACAGTCCTCAAATGCAGCATCTGATTAAGCAAAACAGCATTGCCCTCTAGAAGGCTAGGCACGAGTTCACATCACGACGAGCTAGTCATGGGGCTTGCGCGATGTTTCATTGACCAGAGATTCGTTGCCGACAACCCTTGCTCCTTCCCCGCCAGCAAAGACGCCTCTGTAACACTCGAGCCCACACTCCTTCGTAATAGCTCCAAAACCCGCTGCACAAGCGGGTCATCCATTTGACTCGAGTGCTTCAAATTTGGTCCAATAAGATTAAGACCCAACCCACCCCTAGTACCATGGACCAAATTTGTCTTCTAAGTCAGCATTTAGGCCCCCTTTAGTCAAGCCCATATGCCTAACTTGGTCAACCTCTCTGTGTGCCTCGGTTTGGGCCTCAACTCGCTTCTCTTGGCCTACTTGGCCTAGCTGTTACTGGGTCTATGGTCTCCAATCCTGCCTGAGCCCCTGCCCCTCTAAACCACCACCCCTAAATTCCCTAAATCTTTGAGGATTAGGTTGAAATCCCCTCTGTCCCCCCGATCTCTGAGAATGATCTGTCCTCTGTCATCTTCGCCACTCATACCGCCCTAGATTCGCACCTTCCATACTTGACCGATTCTCGTCCCACAGAACTACCGTCAATGTCATCAGAGCACAGACCACCACCGGTCCAGTTTCCCACCAAATTGGAAGCGTGTTGCGCCAAGAGCCCTATCAGATCAAGATTTGAGACAAAATCCAACTGACCATGCCGCGAACCTTCATCCAAACACACCCCAACAGCTCCGTCGACTGCCACAAATCCTTCGCACCTATTTCCAATCGCTTAGTACACCTCAATGCCTCGAAGATGATTCGGGAGGCCCAAGAGTTGCTTCGTGCCAGTGCTAGTACCCTTCCATCAGCATAGAGCGAATCCAGCGACCACTAACTCAAAACCAAGTCGCGACCAGCTATCATCCACCTCCAACGCACCACCACCTCTGCCTCTTGCCTCGACCGAAAGACAAATAGGTAAAATTGGCCTCCAATACCAAAAACCTCCACCTCCCCCAACGATTTCCACCATCAATTCACCCAATCAATGACAACCCTAGTGTCCAAACCTTTTTCCCCCAAAACCCCAACCCACCCCATCACTGTTTTATTCAGCTTCTGAAACCACCCCCCTTTAGCTCCTACCTTAACCACAACATCTCCCTCAACCCCAACCTGGTGTACCGCCACATTCGCCGACGGTGGCCCCTTTGATGCAACCACCCTCTGTTGGCTATTCTTTCGTCTGGTCCAACCATCCCCAAAAGCAAAACCCCTCATGACCAACACAATCCCCTCCCAGCCACCCCTAAATTCAGATTTCGGTACAAAAATATGTTCTCTTCTGCTACTCGTCATGGCCATAATCTGAATTGAGGACCTACCATCCTCCTCTCATTGAGTCCACACTACCACACTCCGCCATCCACCAATCAGACAACCCAAGTACACCAAACAACCTAGTTCCCTCGAGGCCCCCTCAAGCTTCTCACAACACCATCCAACCTCATACCCACAAAGGATAATCGCCCTACGGAGACCCTGCCCTCGCTCCACAATTGCCAAGCGTCGCGGCCCAATCTAATCTTCCCCTTTTTCTTCAATCTCAAAAGAACAACCTCCTAAGAAGAGAATCCTCCGACGAGGTGCATCCCTTCCTCCCGAGAACATCTCACTTTCCAACAATTATGCTCTAGTGCAAATGTTCTTTTTTCTTCTCTGCTACAAACTTCAATGGACTCCAATGAAATAAGGTTTATAAACTCAAAAAGCTATATGGATCTTGTCACTTCAAAACAAATTATCGCTATAAAGTGGCCCTATAGGATTGCACCCAACATTAAAAATGCATTTAGCTATTATATTAAAAAAGAGCTTTTAAGGATTACAGAAACATAATTAAACCTTGGAATGTAGTGAAGTTTGTAAAGTTTTCAGGTTTGGTATTAATCTCGAATTTATTTCCGTTGCAGCAGCAATGTGCATCACCTGTAAATAAAACACAATCGATTACAAACCAGTTAGAGACCAATCATTCCACAGAGATGATCAATACACAATTCAGCAAGTTTCATAAGACTTACTGTAGGGAACGTGTCATTAGAAGATTGTGATCTGTTCACATGGTCATTTGGATGCACAAATTTTTCACCTCGCTTGTGGCCAAGAATTTCAGCAGCTCTATTTGCAATAACCTAGAACAATCAGTGACTATGTTATAAATTCAAAAAAAAACTCATATCAACAATAATCAACGTTGCCAAGAGATACCAAAAATCTAAGATTTGGTCACCTTGTGAAAGACTTAGAGGTATAGTCGAGAGCATGCACAATCACAAAAAGGATATGCATATAAAGATAGTTCCAGTGCATTGACAAGCAATACTAAATAAAACAATGAAAATAACATATATTGGCAAAAACTACAAATATTACAAAATAAGATACCAATGTAGAGAGCAATCTTGATGATCTGGATCGCCTTTAGTGTTAGTTCAACCAGCACAATTCCTCATTAACCTCCCAAATCATTGCTCATGCACAAGAGGAAGTCAACCAAAGCACCAACTCCTCTCTCTCTCACTCATGCGCGCACACACAAACACACATACTAGTCCAAAGTAGGCAAGAATTAACATTGGCATCACAAAGCCCTGTAGCAACCCTGTCCAGCCAGTGCATGTACGTATAGAGTGCCCATGCAGGCAGCTCAAGTCTATATGAGGCCTCAGGCAAAAAATCTGAGCAAGGCCCTCTATAAATTTTTACATTGTAATTCTTTATTTAAAATTCATTTTTTTCACTTTTTTAGAAGCAAAATTACTAATTAAATTTTTATATTCAAATTTTGTTAACATAATTCATAGGGAGAAGTACAATTTATATTTTATAATTGACCATTGCTAATGCAATAGTACTACACACATGGAATCAACCATAAAACCAACCACATAGTCATGTGTTGCAAAAGCTTTTGTGGCTGGTTATGTGGCTGTTTTCTCTAACATTTATCTTGTTGATCTGGATTTGCTATTTTGACCCAGAGAGGGATATCATGATGAGGATTTTTGTTTTCACTAAGAGAAATGTACAGTGATGAAGGCCTTTCATTTGTATAATGACAGAGTTTGTTTTTTTCTTCATATTTAACTCTTTAACTATACGAATATTTACTTTTTCTTTTGCCATTTTCTTTGTTATGATGCAGAGAAAGGGCAAAGTATAATGATAACTATTGAGAGATATAATAATGATAGGGTAGTTTGTTTTGATATGTATGAAATACGATTTAAAGAGAGATCATTTTTTGCCTATTTTTGCTTTTTCCAATTTCCTTTTTAACGTTTTTATTTTTATCTGATATATACATTGTATATAAAAAAAATGGGTCCCGCTTTTATGCAGGGCCTTGGGTGAGCACCTAAGTTGCCCAATGATCGAGCCAAGAGTTGCTTGAATCATCCATGACTCGAATCCGCACCTACACTAATAGCAAGCCTTTATAGTTAGGCCAAGCCGCCTACATAACCTAAAAGTTATCATATGAGACTAAATTTGGAACACAATGACCCTAGGTCCACACACAACAACAAAAACATAAAAAAAAAAAATAACAAAAATTTGAACAAAGTTTTTTTAAAATTCCGCCAATGCAAATTGGGTGTTAGTAGCATACAAAATTAGAAAAACATGAAACCAAAAACCAAAGATTCATAAATATTTACTTACCTCATTGGCATTCATGTTGCTTTGAGTCCCACTGCCAGTCTGCCACACCACAAGTGGAAAATGGTCATTAAGCTTTCCTTCAGCCACTTCTTGGGCTGCTTGCATTATTGCCTTCCCTATGGATGGGTCAAGACCATATTCTATGTTGACCTGCAGTACAGTAAGTACATACAAGTCAAATTAGTAAGAGAAAACACATAAAATAGTAACATATCAATACCAAACCCGACTTAGCTATTAAATCTAAATATCACAGAAGGTCAATCCAATGGGATCAATATGAAACAATAAGTTCACAAATATGTAAGACTCGTAGTTGACATTGATGCACTAGAATCCAAAAGTGAAAAATAATCTAAAACTTGTAATCAACCTTGGCAGCACATTTTTTAAGGATGCCAAAAGCGCGAATAATTGGCTCAGGCATTCGTTCACGATCACCTCCAATCTCAAAATTCTGCAATGATCTTTGAGTTTGAGCGCCCCACAACCTGAAATATTACAGTTACATAAGAAGAAAAAACAATTAGTCCAGCAAATATTTGGAGGATTACTAAAGTAAATATCTAATACAAAGTAATTGAGACTCGCTCAAGTCTTTCCCACAACAAATACTCTTTTCCTAAAATGTCAAGTCCATATGACACAGATAAAAACATTATCAAATAATTACTAAAACAGCCTGAACCAAGTCCAATTGTGACACTAGAAGGTGTCCATTTTAATAAACACTCTCTGGATGGGCCACAAACTAAGAAAGACATACACTTTTAAGAAGGAGATGTGTGACATGTGTTGGACACCGACACTAACACCTATCGAATACTTTCCAACACTCATTGAACACATCCAACACCTAATTTAGTATTCATCTTTTATTATAACATCAGTGCTTTGAGATTCACGGTGGACAAGAACACAGAAGCATCAGTGCTTAATTGATTGGAGCAAAGAAACAGGAAGGGGCCACATATAACATATCATACATAGACACATCAACTTACAACGTATATATATGGAGCCTTTCAAGTTTTTGTTAGGGCGCCCCCCCCCCCCCCCCCCCGGTTTCTCATAGTAGCTGCCAGCTTGCACCTTGCCTGGGAAGTGTAAGGGCTCGGCTTGGAAAGGCAAAGGAGTGTTCCTATTTCAGTACTTGCAGTACACGGCTGGAGGTTTGAAAAAACCAGTTTTGGGGAAGCTCAAAAGGTTTTATTTATATATCTCCTCAACCATTTCATGTATAAATATTGGTGTGTGAGATGGGTTCAGAGTGAGAAAGTGGGAGTCTCTCCTATCCTATGTGAGAGAGAGAGCATTGATGAAGAAATGGAGATGTATAGTAAGACACAAGGGTGAGCAGGGCTCTGAACTACCCTGAGCACTAGCTCAGGCAACGGTGTGGTTTTTGGTGTTTTTTTTTTTGTCATCGCATATGTAAACTCCAATTTATTCATATAATGGATTTACCACTCTCCCGTGTATGTAGCCATTGAGTTGTATGTGCATATTTACTTTGGGTATACTTGCAATGACACACGGGATCATATTTTAACAAGGTTGTATCAGAGTTTATGGGGGATTTATTCCCAACAGAACTAAGCACAGGTTTACATGATGGTCACATTTAATTTCAGTTGTGCACATGATTTACAGGGAAGATGATAAACTATAAATAAGATTATTCAAAAAATTATTAACTTTTTAATATGGTCTACTCTTAAGTAATGAAGACCAATGACTGCAACTTGAATTGAAGACAAAAATACTCAGCCAAAAAAAGAACATGGGTTATCTGCATTTGAACAGTAATTGATTAAAGAACATCAAAGACTTCAATAGTAACGTGAAACAATAATTAGGTAAAAAAGAACGAACTTATCGGAGGGAACAAGAATGGGTCCAAATGTGTCTCTTTCCTCCCTGAAAGAGGTCGAAAACGATCTCCAACAAACAGTGAAACGCATTAACGAAGCTTCCGATCCAGCAGAGAGACGACGAGACGCTATAAACATCGCCATACCTTCGTTCTTCCAAATCTAATCACGAATCAACCAAACACGTCGTATCAGATACATGAAATCGAATACATATAACGAAACAGGGAATCGAAGAGAGTACTACCGAGTAATTAGGTCCAAAAAAAAAAACCTTTAAGATTTGGGTGGGAAATTAAACCTAAAATGAATTGGGGTAATTGGGTTTGTTTGTCACGTGACGCTGGAGTTAGGCACACGGAGCTCTTTGAAGGTCCAAGTTGGTGTGGTCTGGTGTGGTTCCTAGAAGGGAATTTACGAAGAGAGGTTTTCCTCTAGTCCAATCACAGATCGAAGGTATTATTAGACAGATCGAAAGGTATTATTAGAGCCGTAGGGTTTATTATTGGTTTTATTTTGGTAATTCAAATCATTCAATATGTAGAATTCATCAAGTATTGTATACTTATAAAAAATAACGTTGATCAAATATTAATAAATTATTTTAAATATAAATTGTTTTTTTTGTAAATAGTAACGCGTTTCCATTTAAATATAAATTTTTATTTTTGTAAGATATCACATTCCCATTTACAAATACAATCTATATTCAACATGATCGAGAGATAGTAATACGATCGTGGACTAGAGATAAGTCATTCCCATTTACAAATATACTTTCAACTTTTTTTTAAAATATTGATTGTTCTTTTGTAGTTTGTAAAATTACAAATATTTTTTTATTAGGATTTTTTTATATAATTTCTTTTTTTAAATATTTTTGTAGTTTGTTTTTTTATCATAGTTAACTAAACAAAATTATAATTTTTTTTTCATAAAATAATAAAATTACCTAAATTATTAATTAAAACATATTTTTAATATAATTAAAAACTGTTAATTAAGCGATTTGTTATGAAATTAAAAATCTCAAAAAATAAAATGTAATTTTTAAAACTACAAAAAAAAAATCATATTTTAATTAAATGTCAATGGTGTATTTGTAATTTATAATTTACCTTTTCTATAACGGTGGTGTTACATGCACTAATACGAGCTTCTATTTCCACACACCACTTCTCCTCTTTCCACACACTTAATGATATTTTTTTTTATTACATTTTTGTTCTAAAATAAAATTACCAAAATATCTCTTTATTCTTCGTCCAAAACCCAAACCCTAACCCTAACCCTAACTATCCCCATCGCTGGCTGCCACCCCTTCCAATCGCCCCATTCCTCAACATAGTCCTTCAATCCGTCGCCTTTCCCCCAACTTCTCTCTTCTCGAATCGAAACTCCTCTCTCATCCCGCTATCTGCAACTTCTCTCTCTCTCTTTGCGGATTGAGGATCGCGAAAAGGGTGGGAGTTACAGCGGCGGTGGTGTTGCGTCGCGAAGTGGGGGTTATAGGGGTGGTGTTGTGTCGCCGCCACCCCCTCCGCTTGAGAAGACGATCAACGCCACCCCCTTCGCTTGAGAAGACAATTGATGCCACCCGTTTCACCGTTCGTTAAACCAGGGTTGAAAATAAACACATCAGTGCAATCATCAACATTCGAATACGTTGGTTCGACACTATACTTCCGAATCAATGTGTTTGGTTTGAAACTATACCTCCGAACCTTACATATTGGTTTGATACTGTACTTCTGAATGAACTAATGGAGGTCTTCTATGGAGATTGAAGGTTCTCCCTGTGTAGAATTAGAATAAAAGTGTGTGTAATGCGTAATTTTTTTTGTTTGTAGATATGTGAACTAAGAAAGATATGCACAGAGAGGAATAGACTAATTAGTAGATTAATTAGTGCATATAGCATTATTGCTTATATAAAGAGAAAGTGGCTTCTTGTCTAGTCTAGAACAAACTATCGAAAAAAGGAAAATTGGAACACGCTTTTTAATAACCCCATGTCTCTGTTTGTTTCATTTTTATTTGGATAAATTATAGGGTTCATTTGAGAAGCTGGTTAAAAGTCAGCTTTTGATTTTTAATCCATTTTGGGTCATATCACTTCTCACATTTTTTATACACAAAAAGTTAAAAGCTAACTCTTAACCAACTTCCCAAAACACCAAATAGAGTAATATTAAAGACTCCAAAAATTTTACCAAAAGCTCTACTAAATATTTTACATGGGTGTGGGACCCACACAATGTGGGTCCCCATATGGGATCCTACACCCAGGTGAGACATTTGATAGAACGTTTGGTAGAATTTTTAAAGTCTTTAGCATTTTTGTAAATTATATTGGGTAAATTACAAACCTTACTTACGAATTACTTTTGTAATTTTAAAAATTATATTCTATCTTTTTAATTTCAATTTTATAATAAATTGTTATTTTTATTAATAAATTATGATACATTTACACACATGTCTTAATTTATGAACTTATACTTAAGATTTTTTAGACCCTCAAGTCTCATTAAATTTTTAATAGTGGGGATTGTCTTTGAAATAATAATTGTTCATTATTTATGATTATTTATAAAGGAATATGATGATTTGACATTTATTTAAAATTTTAAAATATCAACTTTTAAATTGAAAAAATTAAATAGTTTTTTTTTTAATTCAAAAAATTGATTTTTTTTTTTTTTGTGCAAAACTGAAAATTTTGTGTCTATAAAGAAGGAAGATGGTGGAATATTAATGTGCAAAACTAACAAAAAATAAATAAATAAAAAATAACAACGTTCTCAGTTTAGAACTAAAAAAACTCTTAATATTTTCGGTTTTATTAGATAGTTGAATCAAAACAATAAGTAGAAGGGCAAAAACGTCTCATCTCATGCTCAAATTTTTTTTTTATTAGTTAGTGAAATAATTACATGTAATATTACTATGTCAAATTGATAATGTTCTTATATTTAAAAATTGAGAAAAACTGATAATATTCTCAATTTTACTAAATAAGACTTATTGGTTCAAAAAATCTAAAATAGGATCTGACCTATCATAACATTTGTAAATAGAACTTTTAGGTAATTAACTCATAAATTATTAAGTCAATTATCAATTTTTAATAATGTCATAAATTTATTTCAATTGATAATTTTATTATTGTATAGGAGAGCAGTTTGAAAATTTTATTTTTTAATTAATTCTGCTAAATACAAAATTATGATAAGTAAGTATTTGTAATTTTTTAAATTACAAGAATAATTTATATTTTAAACAAATCTCGCTAGTGTATTTATAATTTATCAAATTATATTAATTGCTTTAAGGTTTTAAAAAAATACAAAAAAAATGTATAATTTTAAAATAATTATATTAGCATTTTTTTAATAAAGGCTGGGCTCATCTCAAATATAAGGCTATGTTCAGGTATAGTATAGACTAGTAAAAAAGTTAATATAAAAAATTAACTATCTTTACTTTTTTACACGCTTAAAAAGTCAAAAAACTATATATATATTATTCACAAACAAAACATAAAAATGAATTTAAAATAACTTCAAGCAATCATCTAATATATATTTATTAGAGTGCACAGCGGATAGTTTGTACATATAACAAATTTCGAGGACGAAATTTTAAAAGGAGGAAAGATGAAAAAACTTAAATTTTTAATTATTCTGTAAAATTTATACTAATATTATTTAATCACAGTTAGAGAAAATATATAATTTATTATATATTATTATTTTGTAAAAAAATATAATTATTAAAAATTTAAAGGTCAAATTATAATTAAGTTAAGCTAAAGATAAATTTGAGTTAATGGGTCTAATGGAGAGGTGACACGTAGCAGCCGGGGCTTGGTGCCCACGGCTGCCTTTGTATATAAGGGGCGAAGTGGCCAGAAAGAAAAGCAAGAAAGAAAAGATGGAAAAGGAGAGAGAAAGAAAGAGGGAGAGAAAAAAAAGGAAGAAATGGAGGAAAAGATAATGGAAGTTGAAAGAGTTTATGGTGGTAGAAAAAAAGAGTAAGGTATTAAAGTTAAGGTGAGTTATATTATATCTTAAGTTATTAAAATGTATTTTACTTAAGTTTTGACTTATCATATTTATTTTATACAAGTTATGTTTTATAAATTTTTATAAACGATATTAACATTTTAGTTACGTGGTTTAATTTCTGAATCCTATTTGTTAAACTGAAATCTATGGATATGTTTGTTTTATATTTTAAGAATATTTGACTATGACTTTATATATAATTATATTTTGTAAGTACTATCACTGGAGTCCCATGTCTTGGGGGACTTAAATAACCATTGGCCCTCTGATTAGTCACTTTGTGACCCTCTGTCTGTCATGAATCTATTGACCCTCTGAATTTCTGGTGTGGAGCAAAATGCTGTACGGAGCTAAGTGCTACACTATGGTGGGAGCCACCCCTAAAGTTCGTACGAGCCACCTCTTGAGTCCATACATTTGTCCGATTTTGTACCATGGTTATGACTTCTGATGTGGAGCAAAGTGCTATACGAAACTAAGTGCTACACTATGGTGGAAGCCATTTCTAGAGTTCGTATGAGCCACCTCCTGAGTCCATACATCTGTTCTGTTCCGTTTTGTATTGTGGTTGTAATTATGTATATGATTCGCGTATTTAATCTCTGTATTATATATTCTGTATTTTAATATCAAGTTATGTTTAGTCAATAATTATCCATAGTGAATTTTATACCCTTATACTCTTAGTATAATATTTCTTACTCTACCATGTGCTTATAGTTGTTTACCACTTTCAGGTGATATGTCAGGGGAAGCGCATAGGGTAGGCAGGAAGCACATGTAGAGATAGTTCAGCTCTGGAAAATTAATTAAATAGAAGCTCCAATGATTATTTTGGTACCCTCATTTAAATATTTCTTCCGCTTGCGTTTATTAATTTGTTTAAAAATTGGCCGGAGGTAACCTCAATTACTGGCCATCACGATACTTATCCCTTGGGTACGGGGAGCGGGTCGTGACAGATAAACTATTTTCAAAAAGAAAAATGTTTTAGAGTTCTAATTCTTGAACTCTAAGGGAGCTCTAAACAAGTAGGTTCTACTTATGATGTGATGTGTGGAAAAATGCTTGGGACCTCTAATTAGAGGTGACACTAGTGATGTGACAGTGGGTCCCACCCACTGCCACTGTCAGTAATATGTCAATTTTATTTTATTTTATTTTTTTCACCTCATTAGAGGTGTGTTTAGAGCCTCTAAACTAGAGGTCTCTAGCATCACTGGTGATGTGTGTGTATTTGTTTTGTTTTGTTTTTTTTTTTTTTTTTGGGCTGCCATGTTATTAGAGCTCTCTATCATTTCTGTTTCAGAAATATAACAAAGATGATAAAATTAAAA